AAAAAAAAAAAAAAAAAAAAAAAAAAAAAAAAAAAAAAAAAAAAAAAAAAAAAAAAAGAAAAAAAAATACATTCAATGTTTATTTATTTATTTACTTTTATCTATTTCTCTTCTTTTCTCTTCTTTTTTATGTATTATATACATATTTATACATATTTATTATATAGATGTGTATATATACATATACATTTATATATTTATATATAATACAATAATAACATAATACAATGCATGCATGCATGTATGCATGCATGCATGTATGCATGCACGCATGCATGCGTTATTTATCTATATATAAACATTTATTTATTTATTTACTAACTTATTTATTTATTTATTTATTTATTTATTTATTTATTTATATTTTCTTACCATAGTAGAGAGTACTCCATACACGCAATAATTCATCATCTGTTAAATTTTGTGATTTTTCTAAGAAATTACTTATTGCCTTTATACCTATAAATAAATAAATAAATAAATAAATAAATAAATAAATAAATAAATAAATAAACAAATAAGCCCTGGTGTCGTGCATACACGCGTTTTAATGCATGCATACAGAGAGAAAAAAACATATAAAAGAACAAAAAGAAAAGAAAGAAGTGCAGCAACAGCAGCAACAGCAGCAACAGCAGCAAATTGGGTAAGAAAAAGAAACAAAAAAAGAACATAGAAAAGAAGAAAAAGAATATAAACAAGAGAAAGAAGAAGTATACATTATAAGAGGAAAAAGAATATAAACAAGAGAAAAAAGAAGAAAAACCATACATACACATACATATATACATATACATATACATATACATATACATATACATATACATATACATATACATATACATATACATATACATGTATACATATACATGTATACATATACATATACATGTATACATATACATATACATGTATATACATACATATACATGTATACATATACATATACATGTATACATATACATATACGTACCCTTATTACGTATACGAGGATTAGAGTCAACAAGCATGCGAGCAACCTGCAAGATTTTTGCTTTTTTTGCTGCTAATGCATCGCTATTATTTCTTCCATTTTCCCCTTGTTCTTCTTGTCCTGCTGCTGTTGTTGTTGTTGCTTCCTCCGTTGCTGCTGCAGCTGCTGCTGCTGCTGCTGCTGTACGATCCTGCTGCCCCTCTAATCCCTTTGCTTTTGCATACTGCAAAAGAACGCCTCTGATGGCGGCGTCAATATCACTCGCCATCTCTTAACTGCAGCAGAAGAGATGCGTCTTATAGTACAATTTGCTGCTTCTTGCAGCAGCAGCAGCAGCAACAGCAGCAACAGCAGAGCTATTCACTGCTTTAAAGGAAGCTCAAAGATACACAGTGATTTTTTTTCTCATTTCAAGAGAAGAAGGAAATAAAGAAGAAGCAGCAGGAGTATCGCTGCGAGCGCTGGCTACCTGCAATACTTATTGCGGAGTACATGCAGCCCAGTATGGACCTTTAAATATAAATATTTCCCAATTTTATCGAGAAATACATTAAAAATAAACCCAATAAAGGGTTTTTTGCACAAATAAATACAAACTTCCTCCCTGCTTTCTTATATCATGCAGAACGGGGCTGGTGGTTGCCCCACAGGGCTGACTAAGGGATTGACTAAGAAAAAACGGTGGTTAAAATATTCACGTAAATAATATTAAACAGAAATAATAGATTTATTTTTATTTAAAATATAATTAAAGAATAAAAAGCCACAAGGAGGGAAATCGCTTCCTTAATGTGCTGCTTAGGTAGGTATACCAGCACTAGCGGTGCTCCCGCTTGTAGCCTATGTAGTGAGTAGTAGCGTAGTTAATGTAACCAACAGACTAAGCAATTAAATGGGCAAATAATTAAAAATGAATAAAAAAAGAATTTTGCATTCATATTGATGCATTCCATAAAATAAAGAATTTTTAGGGGGTGATTATTAAAATGCGCGTGCCGCGCTTTCTTTACTTCTTACCGCAGACGTCACGCCATACAGATATATCGCTATTTTTTGCAAAACACTAGATTTTTCAAAGAATAATAGAAATATTATTCATTTCATGACTTTTTGTATTCATTTAAGCCATAAAATAACTTATTTAACGCTATTTGCGTGAAGTTATGTATAACCTTCATAATCACTGGAAAATCGCAAACACAGACGACAGCCTTCTTATTGCTGACGCCAGTTAGGAAGTAATGTTATAAAAGAATAATATTTTTTTATTCGTTAAGTTATTATTATTATTATTATTATTATTATTTTGAACATAATCACTAACTTAGAGGCGGTGTTGTCATAGAAGATTCATCTTTCTTTATTCAATGAATTCTTATTGTTCAATATATTCACTAACCACTCTGCTCTTTTATGCCGTTTTTTCGTGTCTTCTGTTGTTCACTCTACATGTAGTTAAATAAAAACTTTAACATAATTAATTAAATTCAATGAAGTTATTGAATTTCTTCTTAAACAAATGCCTTGCTTGAAGGGGAGTATACTACAACTCTACGAAGGAAAAAAAGAGTGCCTTGTACTGGTTAATGCCAGTAGAGTGCCTTGTAAATAATTAATTATTTGACCTTTAATTACAAAAATAATTATAATTAATAATTAAATAATTAACGTAAACAAAATACACACGATTAAGGCAAACAAATATATTATATATATATATA